AGTATGGGAACAAGGCCAGTCGGATTCTGGCCAATGCCCTACGGGACTCTAGGTCTCGGAACTTCATTCCGTCCATCCGCTCGGGTGCTGGGACAGTGACATCACGGTCCTCAGACATAGCGGCCCAATTCCATTTATTCTTTACAAAACTGTATAACTTACACTCTACGATAGATCCTCCCGCTCAGGCGACGCGAGTGTCAGAGATCAGGGAATACCTGGCCTCCTCTGGTACACCGCACCTAGCTGAGTCTGATAGCCGGGCTCTGGAAGCCCCGATTTCCCAAGCAGAATTTGACTGTGCACTGCGCGACATGAAGCCGGGTAAGGCCCCTGGCCCAGGAGGGCTAACCCTTACCTATTATAAGCACTATCGGGAACACTTAGGCGCACACTTTTTATCTGCCTTCAACGCTCTTCTAGAGGGCAGACCCTTGCCGCATGATTCTCTGAGAGCGCACATTACGGTGATACATAAAGAAGGAAAAGACCCTCTGCATTGTGCAAGTTACAGACCCATTTCATTGTTGAATGTGGACCTAAAGATCTTCACCCACATCCTCGCCTCCTGTTTGCTCCCTTTCCTGGCAGACCTTGTTAGCCGCAACCAAGTTGGCTTTGTCCCTGGCCGTGAGGCGAGGGACAACACCATCAGGACTCTCAACGTGATCCACCTGGCCCGTTCCCAGTCACAGCCTCTTTTACTGCTGTCCCTAGACGCGGAGAAGGCTTTTGATAGGGTCGACTAGTCGTTTTTGGGTGAGACGCTTGCACACATTGGTTTGGGGAGTAACATGAGGCTCTGGATCACCGCTCTCTATACCGAGCCATTGGCAATGGTCCGGGTCAACGGCGTCCTCTCGGAACCGTTCTCCATCACGAATGGCACGCGCCAGGGATGCCCCTTGTCGCCTCTTATATTTATACTCACTCTGGAGCCACTCCTCCGGAGGATACAGGCCTCGACGGCCATCCGGGGGCTGGAGGTGCCATCTGGGCACCATAAAGTTGCATATGCGGATGACTTGATGCTCTATGTCTCGCACCCGAGATACCGCTGCCTAACGTTATGCGGGAACTGGAGGTATACGGGCGATTAGTGAACTTCAAATTGAGCGCAGCCTGTCCACCGCGCACTTGTCGCGAATGCGTACCCACAATCCTGGTACCAGGGGTCCTGCCAGGAAGGGGAACCCGTGCCCCCCGCCGCACATGGCCACCCCAAGGAGATGTAAGCCCCCTAGTACCCTGACAGAGCCCCCCACGAGCCGGCGGCCTCCGGACGCGAACCTGGGACGAGCGCAGCCTGTCCACCGCTCACTTGTCGCGAATGCGTACCCACAATCCTGGTACCAGGGGTCCTGCCAGGAAGGGGAACCCGTGCCCCCCGCCGCACATGGCCACCCCGAGGAGAGGTAAGCCCCCTAGTACCCTGACAGTATGCGGGCAGAGCCGATCAGACATTCCCTGGTGTACTTGGTGAATTGTTTGCGTAGCCCCCCTGACCAGACCCCTCCGTATTTCATTAGACAATGGGCCTCGGATCTGGACCTGACCCTTAGCCCCACGCAGGTAGACACCATGCTTCACTTCGCCCTTAAATCCTCTATCTCTAACAAGTACCAGGAAGCCGGGTATAAGCTCTTGACCAGGTGGTACAGGGTACCCACGACCCTTCATGTTATGTATCCAGCGGTCCAGGTGTGTTGGCGTTGTGAAACAGGGGTGGGCTCACTACTGCACATATTTTGGGACTGCCCGAAAGTTCAACTGTTCTGGGTCAACCTTGCCTCTACAATAGAGAAGATCACGGGACACGTGCTGCCCCCCACCCCGTCGGTCTATCTTCTCCACCTGGCCCTGCTTTCCCGAAAGGCATGTAAACACTCGCTGCTGATTCACCTGCTGAACGCAGCTAGAGCCTGCATACCAGCTCTGTGGAGACAAACCCGCTCTCCTTCCAGGAATATGTGGATGAGGAGGGTGGAGGAAATTAGACTGATGGAGGATATAACCTCCAGTCTACGGGAGTCGCAGTCCAGTTATGTGGCTACATGGGGAGCCTGGGTCCAATTCAGGGGCTCGGATGCTTTCACCACAGTGTGCAGGGAGGATGCAGGAGACTGAGGTGCTGCCCAACCATGGCGCCCAATTAGTGGAGGATGTATGGCACTGGGGATGATAGGGCTGGGGGCCGCCAGGGAGCTGGACTGCATTCTGCACTTTCCTTTCTGCTATTTCTATGTTTCTTTGTGCTTTATGTTTGTGAGTCAGTGTTTGTCTCTGCCTAGTATGTGATGTAGAGGGGTGACCGTGTTCGGGCTGGCCTCCCATTTAGTGGGGCTGTACGCGACCACCCGCCCCAACTAAGTGTTCCCTTCTTCTTTTGGTTTGTGTGTTGTGTTGGTTTATTTTTGTTCACGATAAAATGCCTTAAGGGCGGGGGCAAACATAATCACCTGAACCGATCTTACAACCTGTTATCGAGTTTTATACTATATGACTCACTGTTTGTTATTTACACATTATGCGAGACCATGTGGCCTCCACATGTTCTCTCTTTCAATGTACCCCACCCTTTTTGTCTAAAAATAAAGAATTTTTTAAAAAAACATCTGGATGTATTCTTTAATGCACAGAATATTACTGGATATTGAGTTCTTATAGGTATATTAGGCATCAGCGATTGTTGATCCAGGGAATATCCCTGTTTTTCCCCCCCCCTGAACTAAGCTTTATAGGGTTTTTTTTGCCTTGCTCTGGATCAACAGTGGGTAATTGTGGGCAAAGCGTTCTGTTTAGGTTTTTCTTCTCTGTTTTTTTTTTCCATATCTCTATAGGTTGAACTCGATGGACATGTGTCTTTTTTCAACCTGACTGACTATGTAACTATGTAACTTCCTGCATTCAGTGTCACTCTCCAGTTACAGATGCCGGTGAGAAGCTGATGAAGCAGATCTCTGCTTCATCAGCTTCTCTGGGGGTCCCTAGGTGACATTAGGGGTCTTGGAGACCCCTGATGTCTCCATAAAGAGGACCTGTTATGTGAATTGGCTATCACATAGGGGATTTCTTAGTCCCCTATGTGAAAGCAATAAAGCTAAGCTAAATAGAGAAGGTAAAAAAAATGAAAAAGAAAAGTAAAATACGGTAACACAATTTTTTTTTAAAGTCCCTCGCCCCCCCCCACATACACATGAAAACATGTGTCGGGTACGTCAACGTGCGAAAATGACAATTCTGCCTATTGTGCAGCACATGTTACATATCGACGTGAACGTCGAAATGAGAACAATCATTTTAGTAGAGCTGCAGCTAATGATTATTTTTAAAAACTATTAGTTAGCCGATTATTAAGTTCAATTAATCGGATATAAAATAAAATACATTTTAAAAAATGGCTCCAGTGATGGGACTACTAGTTTGTATTGCAATTGTGGCAAGCTTGAAGCGATGGAAATAAAAAAGAAAAAAAAAGTGTGGTGTGCAATATAGTGGAATGAAAAGTGTAAAATTATACAGCAATTAATGCAGAATGGCACCGGCTATAGAGGACTACAAAACCCAGCAATAGTACATTATACAGCACAATGCAGAATACCACCAGCTATAGGGGAATACAACAAATCCCCGCAATAGTACATTATAGTTGGCAGTATTCTGCATTGCACTGTATAATGTACTATTGCTGGGTTTTGTAGTCCTCTATAGCTAGTGGTATTCGGCATTGCATCACTGTATAATTTATTATTGCTGGGATTTGTTGTACTCCTCTATAGCTGGTGGTATTCCGCAATGCGCTGTATAATGTATTATTGCTGGGATTTGTAGTCCTCTATACAGCATAATGCAAAATACCACCAGCTATATAGGAATACAACAAATCTCAGCAATATATTATACATACAGTATATAATGTATTGCTGGGATTTGTATTTCTCTATAGCTGATGGTACATTATGCTGTACAGTATACAGCACAATGTACCATCAGCTATAGAGGAATACAAATCCCAGCAATCCATTATAGAGCACCATGTGTGGGAAAGCGCAGGCTTACCTGAGCAGTCTTCCAGCAACTTGCTTCTGAGATCGGGCCTGTATCGGCGGCTGTCATCCCCCCACACCTGCTCCTCCTTACTACTTCTCTCCGCGTCCCTGTGCCAATCGTGGATGCGGGCGGTGAGCATGAGGCGGGGAGGAGGTGCGGCGTGTGGAGCGTGGATGCGGCGTGTCTGGCAGCGGCGAGCATGAGGCGGGGAGGAGGTGCGGCGCGCAGCGCGTCTGAAGCCGTGAACAGGGCCAACTAATCGGAAGCCGATTAATTGATGATTGAAAAAGTTGACAACTTTTTCAATAATCGATTAGTTGTTGCAGCCCTAAATCTTAGGGCCATTAATTAGTGATAACAATAATCTGATGAGTGCTAAAAGCTTTTAAAGCGTTGCCTATGGCAAATTTTGGGTGTGTTCCTTTTCTGCTATTTCCCGGGCGCGCGCGATTTTAAAGCTCGACAGGTTTGGTGTCTATTTACCCAATGTGACCCCGTCTTTTATATCTTACAAAAAAATTGGGGTGATAAATGTTTCATAATATTTCATAGGAATTCTACTATCTGTTCACTGTTCTGACTCCAATTTTTGTATTAGTTATTTAACCCTTGCTGAGACCTCTATGCCTTACCTGTATAAGCATATACAATCACTGCAGACAATCTTTATTAAATAGCTGAACTGACCAAATGCTTTTTTATCCACAAGATCTTTATTGAATGCAGCAGGTTACAGCAGACAACATGTAGCAAATGATTGAAAAGACGGTATTTGCAGGTCAAACGATGGTAATGCTTCCCCCATGCGAGCATGTTAACATCAAATCAGGAAACAGATTTTTAAAGAAATTTTTGGTCAAGTTAGAACAATTACATATCTTTATATCTTATAATAATATTTAGAATATTAAGTTATTGGAGGGTTACCATTTCCGTTTTTTCCTATTTAGGATCTGTTTTCCAATTCAGATAAATCACCTTCCTCGAGAGACGCTTTTAACCGTTAAGCTGTATGCATTGTCTGTTCCCCCTCCTGGGAGTTCTTCAGAGGCCATCAAGCAGAAAAGAAATCCTCAGTCTTTGGGCTGGATCACTACTCCTCTCTTCAACTTTAGGCAGTAAGTTCTTACATTTTTTTCTTACATTTCCTTCAATGATATATAAATACAAAATATTATTCCTGTAAATCTTTTAAACACGTTTAATGGGAAGATTCACCTGCAGAGTCACTGAATTAGACAGCATTCACTATTATCTGTTTCTTGAACAAAATTCATGGGCATGGTATGGCAGGTCATAAACCGGAAGAGGGTCAGGTGGACTAGCTAGCTCAGGCTTGACTTTTACCCAAGGTTGGGGATAGTAATTGCTTTTTTCAGGGCCCTACTACACTTTCATCAGACTCTCTGCCTTCCTCTGGCCATTTGGCTAGTCTTTCAGTCTCCTCTTTCCTATCTTGTGAGTAATTTTCTGCCACAATGCCAGATTTAATGGGCAAAATGTTTAACCTTACTGAGGCCACAGACAACAGAGTCCACAACCTTCCAGCCTCCCCTCCCAACACAATATTTGATTTCACCTTTGAGCTGGACGTAGTTCCTGAGTCGGAAGTAGATGTATAAGAGGATGATCACTCACCCTCTGAGGCATCAGAGCAGGATGACACCTCTACTACTGAGATTTCCCCCAAGCTAAAGGAAACTGTAGTTGCCTTAAATAAAGCCATATGTTCTTGCTTCAGCGTTGCAGCCTACTTACCCCAAGGTGTCTAGTATGGGGTCACTTATATTCCCTAAGCCATCCAAAGCCTTTCTGGTCAATTCACTGGTAGAGCCTCTCCTATATGGGGACTGGCTTCACCCAGATAAGATTGTTTTCTCCTCCCAACCATTTCACTCTGCAATATCCTATTAAGGAAAATTTCCTTAGTAAGTGGGTGGATCCATAGGTGGATCTTAACATCTCCTTCCTTATGTGGCAGAGTGAATGAACACCGCTATGTTAGCCCCAGAATGGAGTTTCCAGTATTCCCTGGATAGAAGGGGTTGCTCTCAGCTTGCTCAGCTTACTCAGCTCAGCTTACTCAGCTTGCTCTCAAGTCTGTAATTAAGGACCTACAAGATCCCAGTTCACAGGACAAACAGGGCTCACTGGAGAGGAGCTGGGCTTAGAGACAGAGTCTGAGAGTCTGAAAGACAAAAGGTGCCCATACACTTGCTGATTATCGTACAATAATCGTGGGTGATAAGAAGACGAAAGCCGCACGGGCCGGAAGGGGGGGGGGGGGGGCTTGCGCTGATCGCAAGTATGATCTGCCTGTCAAAGATAGGCAGGTCATATGACATTTTAATAACCTTACAACCATCGCACAACCTAAGTTGTAAGGTGTACAGGCAGCTAAAGACAGAGTTATCTGGCTGTTTATTTTCTTGTTTTGTTTTATCTACTGGTTACAGTTTAGCTGCCCAGTAGGACAGAGAGGAACTTTTATGTCAGTTAGCCTCCTAAGTTGGAGTAGGTTTTTATTTGTAGTATTGTGTTTTGGAGCCTTATGTATGGCATACATGCTTAATAAAATGCATGGCAACATTGAAATAAATAAAACATTTTTTATGATCCCCGAACACGGCCAGTGTGCCATACTTATTATGACCCACAAATCAAAAACTTTTGGGGTTTAAAGAGGCTTAGGTTATTGCATAGGTTATTTTAAAATCATGTTGTATTTTAATAAATTCTGCAAGATCACTTTAGAAATTAGTTTGCAAAAGGTAAAAACACAATAGAGCAGGGGTCTCAAACTCAATTCACTCGGGGGCCGCTTGCCAAATTTCATACTTTAAAATACAATTTTACTATATCCGGTTTGGTACTACAGACACTAATATACACACAAGAAGGCCCTATTCATATCTGTAGGTTTAGGTGTGATTAGGGATTCCTGCATCAGAAACTTGCGTTTTCCTGCAGCAGGAATCACTAATCTGGTGTTTACAAGCGGCAGCTGCCATCCATTCACGTTAATAATCAGGTGACAGCAGCTGCATGTAAATATTTTCTGTGCTCCACCTTCGTGCAATATAGCTCTCCTCCCCACTCACCAGATCCACCCGGTGAAATAGCAGTCAACGGAATGTATGCTCTCTAGCGGCGAAATTCCTAGTTTACTGTGCGATCCGGTGTACTTGTACCTATGGAGGAAATCGCTGAATGAGGAAACATCGTTTACCTTGGTGGGGAGATCGCTTCATGGAAAGAGAGAGGAAACATTCCGTGGACCGCTATTTCCCCTGGTGGATCTGGTGAGTGGGGAGAAGATAAAAATATATATATATATATATATATACATTTATTAATTGTTGGCATTTTTGGATTTCACATATTTCTGATTGGGTATAGGATTGATAGATTTAACACTTTATAAAGGGAGATAGCGCTTTATTAGGTCAGATCTATGTCGGTAAGATTTTTAGTCTTTCGGTCTTTCACTGCAGCTGTCATTCATCTGTTTTGTGTGGGTTGGTATCCACAAGCGTGAATTCCTATGTCTGTACTAACCATCTGAATGTTGCTGCATATTACTCAGTCATAATGTGTTAAAGAAGTCTGTGTCCTGTGCTATATTCCAGAAAACAGATTTTACTGCTAAAATCCCATTCTTCTGCAACAGTGGTGGCTGATGCAGGGAGATAATGGGAAAAAAATGGCACTGTAGCCATATGTGCTTGCTGTGTGTGTAATATAACATGGGGCCAGTAGTCTTTGGTCGAACCGGCTACACTTTACGAAAAAAGCATCACCACTGTGTGGAAGGCAGCCTAAAGTTTTTACTTTTGCAGCTTAATTGGGAAGACACCTACTGAATATTTTTTTTTTTTACGTTTTCATTTACATAGCATTACTCTTGCACTCGCCTCCATTGCACCCGAGGTGTACTCGCCACCACTACACCGACTCACACTCTTGGACTAGCCACAACTGCAATTATACGCACTCTTGCACTCACTGCCAGTGCAATAATCTATTTTATTTAGAAGAGTGTGTGCTAAATAAAGAAAATTATACACCATGTGCTATTTATAAAGATGTGTCACAAACTCCCTGGTCATTTGTCACAGCTTCACTCTAAGCATGTTCTAAGTTATTTTAAATGTGTACTATTTTAAATATCACCCAACATCATGTATTGCATTTTAAATGTAGCAAATGCTGCCGTTATATATCTGACTCTATCAGTACAAAAGCTAGAGTTTCATAAATAGTATATATTTGCCAGCAGTTATTGATTCGCAGGGGCAGTGTTTGGTTTGGATAGTTTGTCTCTCAAATTGAAGCTGGTATGTTAACTGTAGCTTAGTGCAGCTATATTTCAAGTACATCCAAATACATACCTTTTGTCATATAATAGCTTTATCACAAGCTAGGTTTGTATGGCAGTTCAGTATTAGAATTTAGGGTAAATGCAAAAACAGTAACTTTTAGGAACGTTTGCAATAGTTCATCGTCTTTCATGAATAATGTTTATTTTTGTCTTCCTTGTTTTAAGGTTTTTAACCTGTGGCCGTTGATTACTGGGCTTCTGGTCAGCGTCAATGCATGGCAGTACTAGTTTCAGTACGCCAAATGTAAATGAGCCAGACAGCATTATTCTACAGGTAAATGGAAAAATGATAATTCCATGTAATTCTTAATATGTATTATTTTAGTTAACAATTTTTATTATTCTATATTATGGAGTATTCTTTTGCCTCTTTAAATAGGTGTAATCTAACTGTACTTTTGGAGAAGGAGTGTAATGCGCATTGGTCAACAAACTGATGACAGAGTTCTAATACTATGATTTCACATCCCAAACCAAATTAAATCCAAAACCTAGATTTTATAGTGATCAGTAAGTCAAGTCAAACCCTAACCAATAAAAGCTCTTCAAACTATTACATAATCTCTATCTTATAAAGCAATCAATAATCAAAAAGTGTATAATTATATTTAAGTAGCAGCCCACGCATGGGAGAGATTCACATGTCACATCAAAGCAGAAATGCCTAATGAAGTAATTAGTGTACTATCAATGCAAATACAAAGGTATACTCTCCATGTTAGACTGTAAGAAAGAATATGTCAGGTGGCCAGAGAAGGTGGAAACAGCTGATGGCCATAAAACATGCAAAAGGCTTTACTAGTAGAAAAGGAAATAGCCAAAAGGCAACAATGGTATACTGTTTCTGCACTTAAAGATATATATATTGTGAGATTTAGCTTCCAAGGGTAGCACATTAAGGAGGCATCCACTCGCTTAGGACTTCTTTTAAGGGCTTCCTTGCCCACTATTATTCAATGAAAGTTACACAAAACAAGGTGATCACCCTCGCAGGGGTTCTTTGGCATCTCTTGCACAGGAACACATGCACATCCAGGCTCCTGGCTTTGCCTTCACAGCACCGCTGCTCCAGCCTCAGGCCACTGTCTGTTCCTCCAGACAGTCTCGTGCTAACCTGCACACTTGCTTTTTCCAACCCACAGCACCCCGCTGCGCTTGACTCCACTCTGACTCCTGGGGAGGGAGCCTTCTGTCTCCCAGGTGGAGCCTTCCTATCTCCTAGGTGGAGCCCTGCACATGAGCCAGCATTCTTCTCATAAGGGCTGTGCCCATGTGCACAATCTTTCGGTGCTGGTCACCACTAAAGCCTGGACCCGGGGGCGTGGCCAGCGGCTTCATGTAGGAAGACGTGTGAAGGAGAGTTCCCCACACATATCCTGCAACTGATCCTGGGGCACCCTGTTTCACTGCCCCTACCGTTCTCTGCTTTGCTCTGGATCGTCAAGTCATCTGCCCGACACATCCACCGCCGTTCCTGAAACCGCCCACAGCCGCCATGTCCAAAAAAAAGGACAACCAAAAGGCGGGCCCTGGGCCGCAAGATGGCGGCGGGCCCCCACGGAGCTCTGCCCACGATGCCTCCGCATTTCAGAGAGAAGGGCAGTGAATCCCTTGCTTCACTTACAGAGCATGTACATGGCATGAGGGCTGACATCTCCTTTCTCCGCCATGACCTGCACAAAGTCAGAGAGCGGACAACAGCACTGGAATGCTGAGTTAGTGATTTTGAGTATTCAACTGCACCTATGCAATCTGATGTCAAAATGGCTATGCAGAAAATCGCAGTTAATTCGTCAAAAGCTGACAACATAGAAAACAGGCTGCGCCGCAACAATATTAGGGCTTTTGGCGTTCCTGAACGCGCTGAGGGCAACAGCGCTACAGCTTTTATGGAACAATTGCTTATGGAAGTATTTGGCAAGGACTGTTTTACATCCCTGTTCGCTGTGGAGAGGGCACACCGCATCCCTTCTCACCCCCTACCACCGGGTAACCCTTCCAGGCCTCTTCTGATCAGGCTCCTAAACTATCGTGATAAGGAGCGCATTCTATGCAAAGCCAGGGAACTGGGCGAATTGTCGTTGGGAGGATCGAAGGTTATGTTGTTCCCTGACTTCTCACAAGAGATCCAGCTGCGATGGGCCAAGTTCCAAGACGTTAAGAAGAGGCTACAGAAGCTGCACCTCTCCTATTCAATGCTGTACCGTGCGAGGCTTCGCATAGTGGCGGATGGCGAGACCCATTTATTTGATACACCTCCTCAGGCTTCCACCTGGTTGGATCAGTACCGCAAACACCGTCCTGATTCACCCTGAAAAGTTAAATGTTTGTGCTGAATGGTGCTGCTCTTTGCAATTCTATGGTGACCTTAGAGTTTTGTGTTTGTCGCACTCCTGGTTGATCCTGCTTATGAGCTCTTCGTGGCTTTCCTATTTTTGGGGTCCTTTCTTCAATCCTTTTTTTGTGTTTGGGTGCTCTCTATAACCACTGTCATTAGCCAGACTCATGGCGTGGTTTTGCCGCTTACACTCTCCAAGTTGTGGCCCTATGGTTGTTGCTACATTGGAAGCTGCCGGGAGTCATGTACCCCGAAGATTTCCCTGCGAGGACTGTTTGGTTTATTTGTTTGTGGTTTTGTTTTTTCTGTCTTTTTCTTGTTTTTTTTTTAACCACAGGACTGTGTCTGGATCTTCTTGAATCTCTCTACACCTCTCCATACTGTTGGGACTGGGACACTGGACTTTGACCTTTTACTGTTGAGTATTTTTTTGTGTGCCTTATACATGCCACAGCGAGTGTTTAAGTTAGCCTCCTCGAATGTCCGAGGCCTGGGGGACGTCACTAGACGACGCTCCATAATTAATTGCATTGCTCAGAGTAAGTCCTCGGTTGTCTGTCTGCAGGAGACACATACTACCTTAGAAACGTGCCATATACTGGATAGGCGCGCCTACAAGGCCACTTATCACTCTTCTTATTCCTCATATTCGCGTGGGGTTTCCATACTTATACATAGGGATGTGTCGTTCTCCTGCATATAGGCAAAGAGAGACAGTGCAGGACGTTATATTTTTCCTCACTGCCGTCTATTGGATATTGAATGCATTATCGCTAACTTCTATATCCCTCCACCGTTCTCCAGCAGTGCTCTTAAAGATTTCACTAAATTCCTAAGTGATAAGCTCCCTATCCCTGTTATTGCCGTTGGTGACTTCAACAACTGTATGGACTCTTATAAGGAAAGGTTTCCTAGAGCTGGCTCTGCTGACTCTTCACTCACCAGTTCTTTTAAGAAGCTGTGCTCCGAACTAGGATCGGCGGATGCTCCACCCTCTAGAGTTTCAGTATACTTGCTACTCTAGCACGCACAATACGCTATCTCGGATTGACTATGCTCTAGGTACATCCGAAATGCTCCCGTTTGTCAGATCGGTGAATATTCAGCCTAGATGTTTATCTGATCATTCTATGCTCCTCCTGGGCCTGTCCACGGGCCGACACCCCTTTTCAGTTAATTGGAGGCTGCACCCCTTCTGGCTGTCTCTGATGACATGTATGTTAAGATGAGCAGCGCTATAAGTTCTATTCTCTATATCTCATATAGATGACAGTGGTTTAGACCATAAATAATGCTTTTTATCACTGTCTAAATATGAAAACGAAACTATACAACAATGAATGTTGTGTCAAAATGTGACAAGCCTTTTAGTGTATCGTGCCAAAACGTCGGTATAAATGTAGAAATGTTAAATCCCCACTCTAATGATTGTGATGTGAAATACAAGCTGCTGTGTTATAGACCACTGGGTCTGAAGATGTTTTAACTGAGTATACAGTGCTAGTATAAGAAACAAATTATCCGTGTATAAATCCAAAGTATTTTTGAACTGTGGAAAAATGAAACAACACGTGGATACAAAGTACCGTCAACTATAGCAATAAGGCTCTGTACTTGTGAAATACCATATATAGGATTAAAAAATCATGACTTTTTAAATATCAAACCTAAGTGCCTTTGTTGTTGCAATGAAACAAATTAATCTAAAAAATCCCTCACTTTTACAAAACTTGCTTACACCTTAATGTGCATTGATATCATTGTGTGACATAACATATATGTGAACAGAACTTATTGTGAACGAACAGAAAATGTGAACAAAAATTATTGTGAACAAAAATTATTGTGAACCAAAATTCATTTGTGCTTAAAGTGAATAGACAAAGAAAGTCTCTGTGGTAATCAACTCCACTTCGATGACGGGTAGTGGAGCCTTCCAATATTCAGTAGTAGGATAGTGCTTTACTGGGGTTTGTATTATGCTAATACATCCCCCTATCAGAGTGCGTACTCACCGCAAACCTTTGGCTGTAACAGACAGCCCCAAACGTTTTGTCTGATGGGACACGTTAATGCGGCGTCTTTCATGTCTCGTACTTTACCATAAGTCTTCAAAGTGCAAAGTATTCCCACAGTCATGCAAAGAAAAAATCTTTCATCGGGTAATAGTTCCAGAAGTAGTTTTAAAATTCAATGACAATCAAAATCAAAATCACGTTCGGCCGGTCCCAAAGCTATCGTGTTTGGTATGGTAAGCCCGTCCCTACGCGTTTCGCCACCAACGACGTCCTCAGGGGAAATGCAGGTTTATCCCCCCATACCAAATCACAGCTTATATAGCGTACATCAAAGTTTATACAACAATAGGCCACTAGATATCTCTCTAGCTCCATATAGTGGGATTATTTCAACATCTCAACAAAAAAAATACAAATTAAAGAGTTACTAATTCTTTCTCTCTTGTGTAGAGAACCGATATCTACATCAATTGTGGTCGTATAGTATTAATCATACACCCCAATTTTAATACATATATTAATACATATTTATTCTGACATATAGTTAAAAATTATTTTTATATAAAACATAACAATAATTTGTAGAATAATGATAGCATTACCTAAATGGGCATATAAACAATATAAAAAATGGCTTCCCTAAACATGGTCTCTCACGACATTTTAAGTTGTTCCATAATAAAAAAAAAAAAACTCCTGAAGGTAATAGGAATTGACAAGGTTGAAAGTCATTGGAGGGGAACGAACCTGACTCGGAAAATTTCACAAAACGAATCGAAGTGGATCTTTACGCTGGACACTATGACCCCCCAAGGGTCTAAATATCGACTTCGATTTGAATTGTTTCCTAAGTAATAAATAATTTCCCATTGGTCTTAAAAATAATAAATAAAAGGAAAATTACTGGTAGAATATTTT